AAATTTTAGATAAACATGATACAAGTATACTAAACATAATTAAGGTGTGAAAAATTCGATAATTAAAGCCTTGCAAGATTAGCATATTACTAGGCGATCAAATTGTACTTGGGGATAATTGTTGGAATTAAGTTAGAATTGAGATTTTAGTTGAGGTTAGGGAGCAAAGTGAAAGGACCAAAATGCCCTTCACAATCAACAAAATCCCCACTACACCACAACCATCACCATGCACGGCCAAACACCCCTTCTGACAACATTTCCATCACCGCCCAAATTGTCCAATCCCATTCTCTCCAATTCCATACGTAAACCATCTCCACACTCAACCAATTCTAACCACAAACCCCTCTCAAAAACCACGGCACCATCTTCATTTCCTTTCCACTTCACATCTCAAACCACAACTGCATTTCATTCTGCCTTGCTAGTGTCGACAAACCGAGAGAGCGAGAGAGAGGCCGAGCTGCACTCTGCAGCCGAGTGGAAGAAAAGAAACCGCAGGATTGAATGTTTTTGGTTCTGGCCGTGAGTTGGAGTGAAACCAGGGAGAGCAAGTGGAAGTCGGAGGAGCTGCTGATCATCACCATTTTCGTTCACTTCAGACCAACATTTCCCAGCTGCAACCATCTTCACCACAACACCATTTCCAGCTGCAAATCGAACCAGGACCAACCAGTGTGCGTGAGAGCCGAGAGGGAGCAGAAATTTTCCAGATTTTCTTGCGTGAGCTTAGCTTGCTGTGAGGTAATTTCTGGATTCATTTTATGACTAATCAGAGATAGTTTGAGCTATCTAGGGGCATGCATGTACTACGGTACAGTCGGATGAATGAGGTTAAGCCATTAGAAAATTTCTGTTTTGGATGTTGATGTTTCTGCCGTGAAGTTGAGCCGATAATGCAGTTTTATTTTCAATTTTCTGGGTCAATCTGAGCATCTAAGTGTACTTAGCCGAATGAAAACTTGAAGATTAATACCATGAATTAACCGAAGGAAAAGTTGGATTTATGACCAATCTAATTGCTGGAAATCTGTTGAGTTGGCCGAGAGAGGGAAAGAAAGAATTTCCAGTTTTTCTCTTCAAATCTTGGCTGCAAATTTCGTATTGTAGTTCAATATACTCATAACACAATAATCACCGTATGCATGCTGAGTTTGAGTGAACAAAGTAATGAATTTTGTTAGGGAAAGGTTCGTATACCAAACTATCTATTTGCTGCAATTTTTCCAGCTTAGCCGATGGTGGCTCTTTTGAGTTTTAATGGAAATTTGGTGAGTGGGTTCTATGAATTCCCACAATGACTTGGATGATCTGATTAGCTAGTCAAGTATTTGCTTGTCGGATTTGAGTACTTAATATCATGTATTAGCCGAGTAAAAAGTTGGTTTTATGACCAATTAGCTGCTGGAAATTCTGTTTAGCCGATGACAGATTTATTGTGGTGGAATTATTTGCCAAAATTACATGTTATTTGTTTTATTTCATGTCGGAAAATTTCGATGGTGGGCTCTATGAACTCCCACCCTTGGATTGATGATGGATATAATGCTAGTTTAGTGTTTAAATAGGTAGATTAATGATACCTAACTAGTCTAGACTCCAAAAGATGCATCGTTCAAAAATGTTCAGATTTGCCCTGTTTTAATCGCAACCCTTTTTGCAAAATTTTGAGAGTTTCATGACTTGTATATCATGTTGATATGTTGAATATGTGGTGTACAAAGTTTCATTGAAAAATATCGAGGTTTGGTTGGTCAAATAAATCGATTTAACAAAGCTAGTAAATCTGGAACTATTTCCGAAATGCTCTGACCAGCTTTCGTATTTCGGCCATAATTTTGAACTCCGATGTCGAAATCGAGTGCCGTCAGCGGCATTTGAAACTAGACATTCCAGCCTTTCCGACGATATAAAATTCACATTCTGGTTCCATGTATGTGAGCCAAACCAACTATTTTAAGTCGGCTGTTCTGTTTCTCTGCTTTACAAGAACAAAATGCTGAGGCTGCAACTTGTGACTCGAATTCGAGCTAGTTGTATGCCGAATTTCAAAATGATTTCTTCTATGAAATTATATCTCTATGAATGTGTTTTCCAACGCCTTAAACCATGCCAAATTCCGAATTAATTTGAGTGATCTGTGATCAAAATATGAAACCTGCTCTGTTCTTGAAAACCCTGATTTTTTAGACAGATTTGATGCAAGGTTTGGCAAAGACTTGCTAACTGAATATTTTGATGCTAAACACTTACCAAATGTACCATGAACGTTCTTTAAGTTTTGCCTAAACAAATGAACCAGGTTTGGAGGAATTTTTCTTTGACCAAATATCTGAAATGGAAAAACAAAAGGTTCAAGGCAGTTTTGTCTTAGTATTTGCGAAATTTTAGGTGTTTGATTGACCACCTTTCCGAAGTTATTTTTCCGTGAAATTTGGTAGAGGAACAACCCTTATATGGTAGTATTATACTGCTAATTATGGTGTTATTCCGAGACCGATTCATGGGTCAAATAAATTACCAAAGTTCGAGACTTGATTTTGGAAAACCCTTGTTTAACAAGAAAATTTTAGTAACTTTGAGCTACCGTATCTTGGTGCTCAAAACTCCGTTCCTCATTCCATTTGTTTTGTTATACTCTTGAATTACAACACTAATAGAGTTACAAATTTCAAAAGTTATTTCCAAACAAGTGAATTTTGCCGAATTTCCAAAGTTGGCCAAAAACTAACTTAAATCTGCCTTATGAACAAAAACAGTAACTTTGAGCCCATTTTGACTATCTTCCATTTAGAATCATGAAAAAGTGTATTCTAGGAACTTTTAGCATTTTGAAGGAAGTTTCCAACGGTACCAAGTTTTCCAATTTTTGACATGAAAAAAGTGAGCTACGATTTTTCAAAGTATTACATCAAAACTGAAATTTTCAGTATTCCAAGGAAATGGAGTTTTTCAAGTACTCCTTATTCCTTCGATAATATTCAAATGTCTTATCCTTGAATTTCATGATGTAGACTTAATTTCTCTTGTACCTTGAAACCCCGCTTGAGAATTTAGATTTAGGATAATTAAGACTTGTTCACGAGATTTTTCCTAAGTTTGTACCATGACACGATTTTCAGCAATAGTAGGGATTGTATATGATAGACTATTACTATTCGTTCAGGCGCACGCGAGAACCTTTAAGAGGATCCGACAGAGGACGCTTGAACTTCAAATTGAATCTATTGCCCTTGTTTGACTAGGTGAGTGTTCTATATAAGAATACGTAATTGAGTAAGTCTAGGACATGCTCATTTCATGATCGTTAAGTGTTTTACCATACTCGTGCCTATTTAAGAAATATATACTTGCATTGCATATCGACATGAATTGGTTAAATGATTAACCCTATCAAATAATCTTGTAAACTCAATATGTGCTTAGCCTGCTTATTTCATGCTTATTTGGTTAAAGTGCTCTTGTGACTCGTTATGTGACAATTTGGAAAATGAGTTCCGATCCATCGAAGTGCGCAGTGTGTACTTTATCACACTAGCCGTTCGAGTGGTGAAGTGTGTGAAATATTTTCTAATGAATTTGTGAATCTAAATGTGGTTGCGTCGTTGGGTGAATCCCTCGACTCGTGAATCATCACCGTAAAACATTTTCTCGTGAATCAAAACGTAGTAACGTCGTTGGAGTGAATCTCCTCGACTTTTACGTGGTAAAAGTGCAAAACGGCCAATGGCGGCCTATTAAAATGACATATGTCTACCAATTAACCGTAATTACCGTTTACCGTTTACCGTTTATCGTTTACCGTTTACCGTGTTTACTTACCGTTTTCTAATATATGTGGTTACTGATTTCTTGATTATCATAAATTATATGCTCATATGAAGTTGTCCATCATTGTTAGGCGAGTGTGTACTTTACCTCCCTCGACCTATTCAAATGATGAATTTTACTTTTGTCGAATTACTTTGTTACCTGTGCATGTTGTAAGCTATAAGCTGAACTTGGGCCCCGCCTCGGTTACTGACCTACTCGAGCCAGGACTGGGCTCGGTCGGGTAGGTTGGAACCCTGGACAACCGTTTCGGTATACTCGAGTATTACCACTGGAGGGATAAGGTGATGGCCAGTCAACCGTGGAGATCCGGGAGTTATAAGGTGCAGATGACCGACAAAGTTTCCACTGGAACACCGTATCCTTTTGTGTTTGCTTTGCTATTAATAATGTTATTGCTCTCCTAGTTGGCATTCTCGGGTAAGACTCCTCATGAGCATTAACCTCTGAGATGAAGCAATCCTTGTAATGTCCTTCTAGTCGGACGAGCCACTATTTGTTTGACTGAAAATTTATGAAAATATATTTATATGGCCATTCATTCCAAAAGTACTAGTTCTACATGTGTTTTCAAAGTAGCAATTACCCGTGTAATGATTATCACCTCATGGTAACATGCCATTGTGTAATCTAGAATCATGCATACGATATGCATAACTTACTTGACCTATTTGAACTGTTAGAGCGTCTTGGAACCTCACTGGGCTGTGTAGCTCATCCCACGTTGTGGTTTTCTTTTACAGGTTCTGACAACTGAGGAAGACTTGAGATCTACTTGTACTTTAAGCATGTAGTTTGAATTAAACAATGTAGCTTTTGTTTCGGGTTGCCACTTGAAGCTGGAAAAGTGTAACCCTTGAATTTGTATGTGGCTTGTATGAAATTTGTTACTTGGCTTATAAGGATGTATTTGAATTATATGTTTTGTTTCTTGGGTTGTAATCGGGAAGGTATTTTAAGAATCGGCGTTAGCTATCTTAAGGCACTGCTATCTCTGAAGTTAATGTGATTCTAGAGACCGGCCTATTTGGAAAGAAACGATGTTGCAATAGATTAGGTTATACTTCGGAAGGACTTTTGCTAGCTGCTTGCGTGAGTCCTGGCGAGAGCTGGGCAGACGGCCCGCCAACCCTCTGGTTCGCCTTAGGGGGAAGTGGGGTCGCCACAATACAGACATCACACGCAGCCTCTCCAGGTCGTTGTGGGTAGATAGCAGCGGCCAATCCAACCTGCAATAATAGAAATTTAACTTTTCTTAGTAGAGTGAAGTTTATGGTATTCCAGCTAGACGTACAAGGACTTATATGGGGGAAGACAAAGGCAAGAAAAAGCAAGGGTTTAGTCCATCTTACATATACATCACATGAAACACAAGTCTGCCAAAACATGTATTAGATATTGTACAAAGAGCTGTAAGCATAAATAATCTCTATCTCACCGTTGTCTGTGTCAGCCTTGGGTCAAAAGTCTGCAGGATAGATGCAGCTGGATTAACAATTCCGATGCTTAAATTTGGTGCAGGAGAGGCTATATACGCTGCACCTATAGCAGCAGCAGGGGGGTTGATTGCTGAAATTCCTAAAAGATTAATTCTCTAGCATTGTGTTGACGAAAAAACAAAAATGCACTAAACAATATTTAATAACACATCTTATGAGAAACAGTTTACCATTTCTATCTGGGTGATTGTACCGACATGTTTGACCATACTTGCAGCTGACTCATGATGCAAGGAAAAAAAATGAAAACAATCAGAAAAATCATCCCTTCTAACAGAATTTGAAAAGGAAATGAAGAAAGAAGAAAGTGGTTCCAGCTTTTCATAGCCTGCTAAACTCACCTGCCAGTTTTCAGGTAGAATGGACAATCAACTTCTCCCTGCCAGAGAGAAAAATGTCTAAGCAGGATATAAAACTCAGAGCCCAGATTTCAAATATGGCCACCGAATCCCAGAAGCGAAAGTTATAATATACATTAAAATTTTATCTAGCATTTGTTGGAGTTTGACAGGGAAGTTCAACTGTTCATGAACAGCACTATATCAAGCCACAATGTCAGGAGCTTCATGCTACCACAATGACCCTTTTTTTTTTTTTTTTTGATGTCCAGAGTTTTGAATGAGTAACCAAGAGCCAAAAGTAGAAAAGGAGTTATAAAGCCTCCGTTAAATAGGGCATCTGCTACTTTTATATATTCAACAATCTAACACATAATTTCAATTTTGACCGTTAGATTTCATATGAAAATGGTTGTGTGAAAATGGAGCAAGTATATAATGATAGTCTTGTTTTAAGCATATATCTAGTATTCCAATGCATGTTCTCCAACCCCAAAAGGCATATGAAAATCCAAATGTGTTTAGTCACATAGTCAACAATGTAATTCCATTGTTAGAAATCCAGTTAAACCATATCAAACACGTACCTCATCTGTCTTTCAAAATTTAGCTTGAATATTACAAACTTCCGAATCTAACACAAGTAATAACTAAGAATTTTCAGTACAAGGTTGGAAGGTCATGACTTTGGAAATTAAGGGAAAAGATGATGTTAAAAAAAAAAGAAAAAAGATTGAGCAAATGACACAGATTCGTGACTGAAGATGATAACATGTTGAGAATACAATTAGACACAATACTAGGGATGCATTAACTTTGAATTGGAGTTCAAAGAAGATTAAACTATCCTCTGTTAAACTTTACATAGAGACATGTATATCTAGACCCGTTATATATACATACAGTATCAATACATAAAAGATTTCTATTATATACATTTTTTTAGTGCATAAGAGATTTATCCTATAAAATAAAGAAAACAAAACTGTTCAATGTTAATAAAAGTAATCGAAGAATCGAGTATCGGCAGTTTGATTTTGGCATGGAGCGACTTTGCTCTGACCTCTATAATTGATCATTGGTTTTTCTCTGGGCTAATAAACTTTCGTTCGTTTCTTCTCAAAAAATAAAAAAAAATTTGTTTGTTTTTCCCACATAAATTTCGACCCATTTATCTGAATCACGTCCCTCTCAAAATTTTCTATATCTAAACTCGAAAAACTAAACGGAGAATAGAGAGAGTTGAGAGAACTAAGGAGTAGCATTTAATCGTTATCCTACAGGCCTAGGCAGGTCAGCTGTTCAGCCTCCGTTTGCTCATCTCATAAAAAGAAGAAAATACTCATTAGGATTTTATTTTATTTTTCCCTCTGCCAATGATTTTTCGAACCAATTTAATTGTACAGATCTTTTTCTCTTCAGGAGAACCCTGACGAATTTATCGGTAAAGGGCTTCACCAGCTTTCCATTTCGTCCATAGATTTAGCTTTGACCCCTTTATTCAATTTGAATTTGTGGTATTTAGGGTTTATATTTTTCTGGGCTCACCTTTTCATTTCCAAACCACGCTTTTTTGTCTGGCATAAAACTTCTGGGTTTCGTCTACGGTTGTTGGGTGTTGTTTATTTTGACCGGGGAAGTAATATCTGGGCTTTTGTTAGTTGGTTTATTAGCTTTGAAAGGGGAAGATTATCCTGGTCTTTTTAGGTTCATTCCCGAAGGAAGGATTTCTGGTTTCCTTTACTGTTGAGTGAAAGGATTTGTTATGGATAGATTTGAAGGTGGGGATGGTATTAAAGAGTCCTCCAATTCTCAGGATCTTGGACAATTTGGTGAAAATCCAACAGGTTGGTTATTAATTCTTTGCTCATTCTTGATGCTGAGCTTCAAATTCCACTGTATGTAGATCTAATTTTCGATCAATACTGATGTTTTCAGTTTAGTTTTTCTCCTGTTGACTTTATTTTACTCTGCTTGATGGCAAAAGAATAATAACAATGTGGGTTGCAGAGATTTTACTGCTTATGCATGTCTTATTTTTTCAAGGATGAAAAAACATTAAGATGAACAAGTTGAAGACCTCAGTCTTTCCTAATATTGCAGAAGTTAGTTTTATACTTTGAGATGTACGGATTCTAAGTGTCTAATCATTTGTTGCCGGTTGACTTATTGCTTGCGAAATTCTGATTAACGAATTCAAGAGTGGATGATACCATTCACAAAGCAGCTTTTTGTTTTTCATCTTTGAGCTGTTAGTTTTTTTGGTATCCTGCGACCCACCTGTCCTTTGCTTGGTATTTTCACGTTTTAAACAGGCTATCTCCTGTTTTGGTTTCTCATTTTGCTTTTGTGAACCTTGTATGTGAAAGCTTATGATATTTGCTATGTTCTGTTTAATTGTCTTCTTTTGTTCGATGTGAGGTTGTTTTCTTTATTTACATGTCATTGCTTTCGCACTACTACAATTGGGTGGAATTTACTGAAGCATTTGGTATTATTTATCTCGCAATTCTCATTTTTGATGTTTAGCTTTCCTGGCTTCATAATGCAGGGGATGCACTATTTGATGCATCACAATATGCATTCTTTGGCAATGATGCAGTAGAAGAAGTAGAACTCGGGGGTTTAGAAGACGATGAAGATGAGATTCCTCAAGTTGGTCTTGCTGATGAAGAGTATCAACTAGATAGAGAAGAGGTTTTTATTATTTATAACTTAAATAGTTGATTTCAGTTTTGGTATTTTGTGATGGATTTTTTGCTAGTTCTTGTTTTGTCTATGTGGGAATAAGTACTACTTGTAGATGCTTCACCTTGTATAGTATTTGGTTTTTAACTTCATCATCTTTCTTTTTGCATTTGCATTTCTATAGCATACTGAATAATTGTGTTACTGGTACCTATATGGCTCATCTTGAATAATAATCTGCATGTAACCACAAATCCTGTGTCAAACATGTTAAGTGCAAATGATAGATGCATTTACGTATGCATGGAGATTTTTTTTAATTGCCTCCATGTCATTTAATGTTACTGAATGTGAGCTTCAATTTTGCATCTAAGTGTTCAAATCCCTAACTTCCCCACCGTAAATATCTTTGTTATTTTTTTCAGGGTGAAGTACTTGGATCTTTTACTGAAATTGATGATCTTGCTAGCACATTTTCAAAGGTTAGTATCTCTGAGTGCAGAAATTACATGAAATTGTGGATGTAAGTGCTTTTACATTTGAAGCTCACAATTGTATCTCACTGCTGATCACCCTGGAAGATTATACTATTGAACTTTATCAGCATCAGCTGTTTATAACTAGCCATTTTTGGTCGCTACATAGGTTTTTTTTTTTTTCAAAAACTTTCTTTAACTGCAGGATGGGCTTGACTATTTATCATCTATCTCAAAATATATTTATGGAGAGGCATTCTGTGATGTTACTCCTTCAGATTATGTTTATCTTTTGTGGCCGTATGATATCAGAATAAATAACTTCTCATTTTGTCTCATTGTCTGATTAACACGAGAAGAAACAAAATGAAGGCTTTATCCTCATTCTGGCCATGCCCCTACCTTCATTATTGGATGCTTTCTTTGAAACTTGTAGTTTGTAATCTGTTAACTTCAAAGGATATTAAGTAATGAGCTTTGAACATGTTACTTGCTATTCGACATTTCTTGTTTGTGATCAGGAAACCCTGTGTTGTAACTGGGTACTTTCTATGAAACTAATCTGAAAGAAAATTAAGGAATTGGTTTTCTACAATTTGCTTGCAATTCCATATTTAAGATGCCACTCTTTTTTACACAAAAAAGGATTTTACTCTTAAATAATAATAATATCCCTAATTGCAAAAAGTAATTTCAGGAGTAATAGGATGGGCCAATCTGTCATTCCGAATTTCTTCATTATTGTGATTCGAGTGCTATTTTTCGAAATTAATAGTTTCTATTTCCTCTGCCAATATATCAGTTTTAATGCCTGTCGTTAGCCAAGAAGCCCTATTTTAGCTTTTCCTGCCTAGTGAATAGGACAGCAATAATGAATGTATCTGGTGGCATACATACAGTAATATGTCTTATTCCATCCTTGCTTGATTCCTTGGGTACATTTTTCTTTGTATCACTAAAAACACTTATACTTTACAGTTGAACAAAGTTGTCAGTGGCCCACGAGATGCTGGAGCTATTGGAGATATGGGATCAAGAGAAAGTGAGTAACTGGATGGGGATATGCATTTCTTTTTGGATAGATATATTAACTGCTTGGAACCAGTCAGCTCTTAATTGTTAGAATATTCTCTCTCATTTTTCTCTATCTTGTGGAATTTTTTGGGGCCTGGGGGGGAGGATTGGTGGTGGTGTCTGGATGAAATTTTCCATTCAAATACCTGCTAACCTTTATCTTTCAAAGTGAAGAGTTATTTCAGGAATTATGTTCTGCCTCAATGATTATGTAGGTGTCAGCCTGCCAAATTCCTTTTTGGGAAAATCGTTCAAAACGCCTCACATTTTGCCAAATGAATTTTTTTCGTCCAAGTTAGCAAAATTTGGTCCCGACCTAAGTTTCTGACCACTCTTTAGCCTGAAATCACCATATGACCTGCATGTAGCCATTTTTTTATGTACAAAAAAGTCAAATCTGTTTTTTTAGTGGCAAAAATGAATATTGATTAGGTCAGATTCCACTTTTTTAGTGAAAAAATGAATATGGTTCCGGTCAGATTCTACTTATTTTAGGGGCAAAAATAAATATGGGTTGTGTCATCATTTGTTTAACTACAAATGGGAGCTAATTTTTTGCTTCTAAAAAATGACCATATGTGAGTCACGTGATAGATCTAGGGTAAAAAGTGGTCGAAAACCTTGGTTGGGACCAAATTTTACCAACTTAATTTTGTGAGGAACGTAAAGTAACCATTTTAAAAGTAGATGACAAACAAATTCATTAGGAGAAATGTGAGGGATGTTTTTGTTTTTGGATGATTTCCCCTTTTTTTTTGGCTCACTATATTATATTTGCTGTTGCATTCTTGTGGCCTTATTTGATAATTTCCTTTGGATATGATGCTATTTAGTTATCCATTGACTGACATAAAGTATGTGGCTTTTTTCTTGTCCTATATATCAGGTTCATCTGCAGCTGAGTGGGTGCAAGAGGAAGATTTTCCTAGTTGGGCTGATCAGAATGCATTTGATACAGAAAGTACACAGGACAGTAAGAGGTGGCCATCACAGCCATATCCTTCGTCTGCTTATTATCTGGATTCTAAGAGTCTCTACAGAACATCTTCGTATCCTGAGCAACCACAGCAGTACCCACAGCAGCAGCTAAATATACACCAGCACTACTCTAGTGAACCAATTCTTATACCAAAATCTTCTTTCACTTCATATCCTCCTCCTGGAGGCAGATCTCACCAAGGCTCTCCAAATGACCAAGCACGACAGGCAAATATTCCATATCATCCTGGTGGACCTCAAATTCCACGCTCGTCAACCAATCTTTCTCCCTTTCCTAATCCTCAGCTTCAGATGACTGCTTTACCTCATGGTTCACCAGTGGGTGGAAACATGCCTCAGTTTAGTCCTTCAGGTCTGCCGATCAGTAGCCGCCTGCAAAACCAGTGGTTGACTCAAACAAATATGTACCCTGGGGACCATTCTAACCTTCCAAATAGTATGTTACAACAACATTTACCTCATCAAAATGGACTATTG